GGCCCCCATAAGTTTTCTTTTAGTAGATTAAGAGTTATTAGCTTTATGTTTAAATATTTTATCCATATTGATTTCATATTTGTACATGGTATTAGGTAAGGGTCCAATTTCAGTCTTTTACATGTGGTCATCCATTTTTCTCAGCAGTGTTGGCTTAAGAGAATATCCTTTTTTTATTTTGTGGTATAGGTACATTTGTTGAAAATTATTTGACCTTACTTAGGAAAAGTTTTATAGGGTTGTGAAAAAGTAGTTTTACAGTTGTGATATCTGAAACATAGAGTTTGTTCTTATATTATTATTCATTAAATATTGTATTATTTTTATACAAACTAGTGTTAAACATTAGTTTACATTTGCCCCACCCTATATGCAGATTTTATATTTTTCTGTACTTCATTCTTTACTTCTGTCTTAATGTCTCTATTACATTTTTTGATAACAGCATCTTTGAAATATGTTTCAAAATCAGGAAACATGATACCTTTAAACTTCACACTTTCCACAGTTTTTTTGCTTACTTGGTGTCCTGTGAAATTCTTAATTATTTTTAGAATAAACTATTCTACTTTTACCAAAAGCATCATTAGCATTTTGATAGGATCTCTTTGCATGTTTAGATAACCTTGGGTACTACTGAGGGCTTTTATAATTTTCCCCATACAAGTTGTTTATCTCATTTATTAAGTGAATTCCTAAGTGTTTTATTCTCCTTTATGCAATTGTTAATGTAATTACATTCTTAATTTGGTTTTTGTATTCATTTCTGTTATTGTATAGAAATACAACTAATTTCATGGGTTGACTTTATATCTTGCCTTTTGAGAAATTTGTTTGATTTTTAAAATTTCTTTTTTTTAAATGTATGATTTTGCAGTACACAATTTTGTCACCTATTAACAGATAATCATTTTATTTTTTTTTGTTTGTGCCATGGGACATGCTAAAAACATTTTAAAATTATAATATACCTTAAACTGATAACATCAATTATATGCAAAAAATCTATTACTTGCCACCTCTACCCCTGTACCCACTTATGTTACTGATATCACATTACATCTTTTATGTTGTTTATCTTATAACAAAGTTTTAAGATTTTTTTTCTTTTATTTTTAAAGTTTTATAAGAGAAAGTGATTTGTGTCTCATCATAGACCACTGTGGATTTTTATATTTCTGTATATATTTACATGTACCAGAAACCTTTATGTATACTTATGGTCTTGTACTGTGTATAATTCTTTTATTACATGTAAAAGGATTTTCTTAAGCATTTTTTGTAGGGCAGGTGTAATATGAGAAAGTTCTCTGGGTTTTTCATCTGGAAAAGTCTTCCTTTCTCCATTGTTAATAATCTGTTTTCTCAGATACAGTATTCTTAGGTGATAGTTTTTCCTTTGTCCATTCAGTATTTTATTTCATGCCTTTTTTCCTCATAAATTTCTGCTGAGAAAGCCACTGGTAATATAAGAGGAGCTGTCTTTTCCATAAGTTTTTTTCCTTAATGCTTTCAGAATAGTTGCCTGTGATTCATACTTTGATTATAATATGTCCTTTTGTTCACATTTTTATTTCTATCCCATTTAGAATTCAGTGTACTGCTTTAATTTGTATGCCTCTTTCCACAAATGTCAGAATCTTAAACTGTCAATTTTTCATATATGTTGTCTGCCTCCCTTCACTCTCTTGTATTTATAGGGTCCATATTAATGTGCAACATTGTCAATTTTTGTGTTGTTCCATTAGTCCCTTAGGCTGTCTTTACTTTTCTACATCTCTGCTGGATTTTCTGTATCAAAATTTTTGATAAAGCTGTGTACTAGTTTTTTGATTCTTTAACTTGTCACATGGTTTGTTGATGATTCTATTTTATTTTTAAATTTGGGTATTGTGTTTCTCAGCTTCTAATTTTATGTGATTTATTTTTATACTTTCTCTTTGCATTTTTGTTTTGGTGATGGCAGTTTTCCTGATACTATGAAGTTGTCAGTTTTGTCTATTTTTTCATTTTAAGATGGTTATTTTCAATTATGTGTCAGGTAATTAATTTATTTCCATTAGAGTAGTTCCAATTACTGGAGATTTATTTTGTTTTCTGATTCAACAATTTTTTCCTGTTTCTTTGCATGCTCTCATACTTTCTATTGAGGAATTATAAACAACCAGGCCACAGGAACTTGCTTTCCATAGAAGAAGAAAAGAAATAACAATCACCTGTGGTAGAAATTCTAATTCCTGTCAAAACTGTTTAGGGGATGTATATTTGTTGTTCCTTGTGTGTATAAGTTTAAAGTGTAAAATGTTTTCCTTTTTTAGAGCCTATGATATTTTTCTATCCTTGAAAACTGTCTTCAGTACTACAGTCTCTGTGGTGTTTAAACAATGACTCACCTTTTCTTTTTAGTAGTCATTATAGTGCTTTCAGATTCCTCCCATTATTTGAGCATTCTGTGTTATGCAAAACAGAAGTTATCCCTCAAGAATCTGTGAAACAGCAAGATTTTTGATTTTTGAACACACAGCACCCTCATCTCATTCTGTCCAGAGAAGAAAGTGGAAATTAAGAGTTTTCTTATAATGTTGGCATTGTGTGCCAGGGGGTTTGAGAAGATATAGCAACTATAAGCAACTTTTTGTCTTTCTATGATGTGACTCTTTTTGTTACATTTCTTGGGCATGCTGTGAACTTTCACCTTTTTAAATTTAATTTTTATTTTTTTAATATATTTTATTGATTATGCTATTACAGTTGTCCCAATCTTTTCCTCCTTTGCCTGCCTCTTCCTGTTACCCTTCTTCCCTCAAGGAATTTCAACCCCTCTTAGTTCATATGTACAGGTTGTGCACATAAGTTCTTTGGCTTCTCCATTTCCTATACTATTCTTGACACTTCCCTGTCTATTTTGTACCTACCAGTTATGCTTCTTAATCTCTGCACCATTTCTCCCACTTTCCCCTTCCCCCTCCCAGCTGATGATCTTCATAGCTATAATTCTGTTCCTGGTCTGGTTGTTTGCTTAGTTTTTTTTTTCCAGATTCAATTGTTGATACTTGTGAATTTGTTGCCCTTTTAATGTTCATAGTTTTGATCTTCTTTTTCTTAAATAAGTCCCTTTCACATGTCATATAATAATGGCTTGGTAATGAACTCCATTAGCTTTACCTTGTCTGGGAAGAGCACTTTATCTGCCCTTCCATTCTAAATGCTGGCTTTGCTGGATAGGGTAATCTATGTTGTAAGTCCTTGCTTTTCATCACTTTGAATACTTCTTGCCAGCCCCTTCTTGCCTGTAAAGTCTTTTGAGAAATCAGCTGATACTCTTATGGGAGCTCCTTTGTGGGTAACTCTCTGCTTTTCTCTTGCTGCTTTTAAGATTCTCTATCTTTAACTTTCGGAATTTTAATTATGATGTGTCTTGGTGTGGTCCTCTTTGGGTCCAACTTGTTTGGGACTTTTTTATGCTTCCTGGTCTTCTATGTCTATTTCCTTTGCCAAGTTAGGGAAGTCTTCTTTCATTATTTTTTTAAGTAAGTTTTCAATTTCTTGTTCTTCCTCTTCTTCTGGTACCCTTATAATTCGGATGTTGGTACGTTTAAAGTTGTCTCAGAGTTTCCTCAGCCTATCCTCATTTTTCTAAATTATTTTTTCTTTCTGATTTTCTGATGTAATGCTTTTTCCTTTCTTGTGTTCCAAATCATTCATTTGATTCTTGGTTTCATCCTCTCCACTGTTTGTTCCCTGTAGATTTTTCTTTATTTCACTTAGTGTAACCTTCATTTTTTCCCTTATGTTTTTGCCATACTCAGTGAGTTCTTTGAGCATCCTGATTACCAGTGTTTCAAACTCTGCACCTGTTGGGTTGGTTATCTCCATTTTGTTTATTTCTTTTTTTGGAGTTTTGTTCTCTTCTTTCATTGGGCCACATTACTTTGTCTCCTCTATTTGGCAGCTCTTTGGTTTTATTCTGTGTGTTAGGTAGAGCTGCTTTTACTCCCTGTCTTAGAAAAGTCACCCATCTGCATGAATGTGGCTTCTTTAAATCCTTGGTTGTTGGACTTTTATACAGCTTGATTTTATGGCAGTTCTGGTTGCTCTTTGTTTTGAGATACAGTTGTGATTCTCTCTGTGGTTGCATGAGGAGGCAAAGCTTATTTACCTATGCCTCCATCTTGACCAGAAGTCTTGGCATGCTGTGAACTCTTAAACTTGCTTTAGGAATACCAAAGAAGGTAATTAGGTCAATAATTGCTGGTAAATTCAAATTACATTTATTTGAATTTTGTAACTATGATAATTTATTTTATATCTTTCAGCTATGTCATCTGAAGACACACAGGCCTTCTTGCAATATCCAGAAATAGAAGATTTATTCCCTAAAATAATACTGGTAATATATGGATAGTGTGGCTTTCATAATGTACAATTAATAAAAGCCTTGAAATTTAATAAAGAGTGACAAGAAAGGATGTCAATAAGGACAGAACTGTACTGTGACAATTATTCATAATAAAATTTTTGTTATCAAAATAGGTCAAATATATAACACATCTTGTGAAAGCTCCCACTTTGTTACGCTTGCAGAACAATGTATTTCTAAATGTAGACTGAAAATAATTTTTAAATGTTATACATTCTGGAAAAGGAAATGTGAAGTATCTGGGAGCTTACATAATCCATGGTGTGAATAATCATTTAAATTATTCTAAATATAAGGTGAGATTAAACTTTCAATAAGTTCTTTCTAAAATTAAGAGATTTATAATGTACATATAAAATTTAAATGTGATTGGGCAATCACTCTAACAATAATTTATCATTCTAAGACTGAAAATAATATTTTTTATTAATGTATATAATTTTCATAAACTTTGGAGTACTTTCTTTTACAACCATCTTGGTTTAATAGGTATTTTAGAATAGTTATTTGGGAGTACATGTTCATGTTTAATGAAATTATAGCTGTCACTAAAGCCCTTTCTATTTTCAATTGTTACCAGAGTTCTTATAATAGAGAAGGAAATTATCACTGCAGTGATCATTGGACAAACTTCAATCAAGAGTCAAATACTAATGAGAGAATTAAGTTTCCAGAAGACCATTATAAATGTGGAAAAGTTTATGGCCGAAAATCAAATCACAGTATTCATCAGATAATTCATGTGGCAGAAAAGACAGGCAAACAAAGTAAATGTGACAGATCTTTTAAGCAGTTTTCAGATCATATTGAACAAGATGATATTTATAGCCTGGAAGAAGCTTACAAAAGTAATGCTTGTGGGGGAGTCTGCAATCAAATATTCTATCTAAATAGATATAAAGAAATCCATACTGGAAAAAAAACATACAAATGTGGTAAAACATTTAATTGGCTTTCAGGTCTCACTTTGCATCAGATAATTGATACTGGAGCAAAGGCTTACAAATTTAAAGCATGTGACAAAGCGTTTTACCAGCACTCAAAACTTACGCAACATCAGAAAACTCATACTACAGAGAAGTCTCATAAATGTGAAGAATGTGGCAAAGCCTTTAGCTATGGTTCAAAACTTACTCTACATCAGAGAATTCATACCGGGGAGAAGCCTTATAAATGTAGAGAATGTGGCAAAGCCTTTAGCCAGTCTTCAACTCTTACTGACCATCAGAGAATTCATACTGGAGAAAAGCCTTACAAATGTGGACAGTGTGGCAAGGCCTTTATTCGCTTCTCAAAACTGAATCGTCATCAGATCATTCATAGTGAAGAGAAACCTTACAGATGTAAGGAATGTGGAAAAACCTTTTCTTGGCATTCGTATCTTACTAAACATCAAATAACTCATTCTCAAGAGAAGCCTTACAAATGTGAAAAATGTGGCAAAACTTTTTACTACCATTGGTGTCTTATGAAACATGAGAGAAATCACAGTGGAGAGAAGCCTTATACATGTAAAACATGTGGCCAAACCTTTAAATGGCATTCATGTCTTACTGTACATGAGAGAAGATTTCATACTGGAGAGAAACCTTACAAATGCAGAGAATGTGGTAAAGCCTTTTATGAGCAATCCAAACTTACTCAACATCACAGTATTCATACTTCAGAGAAGCCTTATGAATGTGGGAAATGTGGCAAAGCCTTTAAACGCCATTCATATCTTATTGCACATGAGAAAATTCATACTGGAGAGAGACCTTACAAGTGTAGAGAATGTGAGAAAGCTTTTAGCCGATCCTCACACCTTGCTCACCATCAGAAAATTCATACTGGAGAGAAGCCTTATAAATACAGAGAATGTGGCAAAGCCTTTAGGCAGTCCTTAGAACTTACTGACCATCAGAGAAATCATACTGGAGAAAACCATTATGAATGTGGTCTATTTGGCAAAACTTTTAATCACTCTTCAAAACTTACATGACATCAGGATCATACTGGAGAGAAACCTTAGAGATGTAAAATGTGGTAAAGCCTTTGCTTGGAATTTGTATCTTACTGAACATCAGATTATTCATTCTCACTAGAAGCATTGCAAATGTGGAAAATGTGGCAAAACCTTTAATTACTCTTGGAGTCTTACCCAGCATGAGAGAATTCATACTGGAGAAAAGCCTTATAAATGTAGTGTATGTGCCAAAGCATTTAATCAGCATTGGTGTCTTACCCCAAATGAGAGAATTCATACTGGGAAGAAACCTTACAAATGTAAAGAATGTGACAGAGTTTTTAACCTGTGCTCAAAACTTACTTAACACATGAGAATTCATACTATAGAGAAACCTTAAATCTGAAGAATATGGGAAATCTATAGCTGAACCTACAGCTTTATTCAACATCAAAGATTGCAAAATGTGGAGGAATTTTACATTCATAATAAAGGATGAAAGTTTTTTTTCTCAAAACATACTTAAAAACAGAAAACAATTTATGCCTTAAAGTTACTTTAAAGATGTAGAAAATTTACAAAAGTGTGTAAGTGAAAATGATTTTTAAAGTAGCAGAGAATCCACAGTAGAAAGTTAGTCAAATGGTTTTCATGTATTATTCTGTATCAGATTTCTTATTATATAGAATAATCCAAACTGTAAAAACTAAGTACCTTTTTAATATGCTTCAAAATATCAAGGGGATAGAGTTTCTATATGTATAAAAATTATAGTACATTCTATTTTATAGTGACAGTATTTGAGATATTTTGAGTAGGATATATTAATGTGATTCTACTCTAATATCGATCGATTGCTGTTACTATGTGTTTATTCCGAGTGTGTATGTGAAATCCTGAGTTTTAATGTTGCCTTAAAGATCTGTGAACTTTTGTATATATTAGGTGGATTTCACTCATATCCACTTTTCTATGGAAGATTTAGGACATTGTAAAATGCACAGTGTATGAGGTATTGTTCACAGTTGTTTAGAATGTTGTTGTATGTCACCATTGAGGGCATCTTTTGTTGCATTAATGTAATACAGGAACATTAGTAATTTTCACTACATTTCACAGTTACTCTTTAAGAAAAATATGGTGGCAGTTAATTAAAATCCTGATGTATTTTTATAGTATTCATAGATAGAAGTGATGAACATTAGTTTATATGGTTGAACTTAAAAAAAATTGGCCTGGGATATGTGAGAAAGTACAGACAACTCATCTCCAAGTTTATAAAATTATTGTAAATTTATGTTTAATAAATCATTATCCTCTATTCTGAAAACCAAAGAATGCACAGCTATCACATTATTATATCAGAAGAACAGCAACAATTCTTAAATGTTTATAATGTGTATATTACAAATGGTGACATGGTGGGTTTGACATGCTTTATTTAGACTATGTGTGAATTTAATATTTTTATTAATAAAGCTGAAGTTAAATGTGTTCAACATATACAACCTTATTTAAGGTTGTAATAATATTTCTATTTGATAATGCAGTGCAATTATGTCATCAGCAATCCCTTTCCTTAGTTGTCTTAAACATTAAATAATATGAAAATTTTCTCTGTTATTCATATTTTTCCTTTTTGTTGTACCAGTTGGGGCATTATAAAAGTTACAATAGAGATGACCTAAGGGTTTTTATAGTTCAGCTAAACTACTTCATGATATTGTTGCTGTGGCATTTATTTTCTGTACCTAGGGACCTTGAACTGACACTAACCTCTCCCAAAATTGCAAGAACTAGACAATAGTTCACAGAGTCACAAGTAAATTTAAGATCCTGACATGACCCTCTGGCAGCCCCTGCTAGCAACAGTCTTTCTTCCACCTCAGGGTTTTCCCAATGCATGGGCCTTAGATAAGATCTCTGCACATCTTACAAAATCTTGCTCTTTTTGTTTTATTTTGAGCAGTGCATATTTAGTGCAAGAACACTCAAGGACTCTGCATTATATGCCTAATAAAGGCACCTACCCTGAGTCCTACTATTCTCTGCAGGGATCCTGCCTTGACCTCCACATGTAGCCCCTCCAGGCCTGCTGTATTCTTCCAGGGCCTGTGAGTAATAAACTTGTCTCAATTTGTCTTGTGCTCTTTTGTGTAACTCCTGCTCATCATCCAATACCAGGGTGCTCTGCTTAGCAAATGCTGATTTTAAAAGTGCAAACAAGTACAATTTAAAAATTCTTTTTATCTTTTAGGCATATATACATATATTATCTACATATATACATACATAAATTTATATACATATATAATTTTCTTAGTCTACATAAAAGGATTTATGTGGTTTGATACACAGTAAATACAGTACATATGTATAGTAACCTAAAGATAAAACATAAGAATCAGAGGACTGAGGAAGCAATGTGTGTGTATATGTGCACACATATTTTAAGAAGTGTAAGTAAATAATGGGCCAAAATAAATAATATAAACATATATGAGTTAGTAAGTAATGAGAAATCTTAAAGATTTTAATGTCAGTCATTTTCTGTACATTACATTAGTGCACATTTTTCCAAATTTCATGACTCTTGGCTTGAGAATCTCACATTGCAATTTCCAGTTTTTTCCTTTGTATTTTCTGTGTTTCATATAAAGTTTACCAGCCCTGGCTGGTGTAGCTCAGTGGATTGATCACCAGCCTGTGAACCAAAGAGTCACTGGTTTGATTCCCAGGCAGGACACATGTCTGGGTTGCAGGCCAGGTTCTTGTGTGGGGCATGCAAGGGGCAACCACACACTTGATGTTTCTCTCCCTCTCTTTCTTCTTCCCCTCTCTCTAAAAAAATAAAATCTTAAAAAATAAAAAAAATCATGAGACTTACCATATGTTTTACTTATTCCATAGATAATATAACTTATATAAAGTGCTCAGTGATTTTAAAATGTTTTTCATAGACTTTAGTGGTATATAAAAGTCAACCTAAGAATGGAGGTAACACCCCCCTCAAAAAAAGAGAATTATTACATTAGATAAGCCAGTTGATTAAGACTTAAAAACAATGGAGATAATTGACAGAGAGCAGATGAAGTTGTAATTTGGTGTATTTTATTTTTTCTTTTATTGGAGAAAAGCACTATTACATCAAAATTTTAAAATCATTCCCAATTCTTGTAAGTGATGTCATCAAAGTTATTTTTTATTCTCTGCAAATGTGGTCAGCTGAAAACTTGGTGTTGTCATTTCAATGTGGTGTTCTGGTATTTACATAAATTTAAAAAAACAGAACTGTGCTGTTTGTGTAATGGACACTGTAATTAAGAGACATACTCCAATTGCAGGGATGTTGCAGTGCTAGGTAAGAGATGAATGAATTGACATTCACCCAGGATGTAGAATTGGCATGAACTCTGCATATGGAGAAAGGACATCTGTTTCCTGTCTGCACTACTGATTGAACTTTAGGAAATAAAATCTATTTGTTTTATTTTTATTTCCTGTTCCTTTGTGTTCTTTCATCTTTATTCTCAGCTACAAAGACATCACAGCCATTCTCCTTTTGAGTGCAATGGCTACAGCACCTCACTGCTCTCCCACATCAGCCACCCAAGTCCTTGCAAGTTCTGACTAGTAGGTTGGAATTTTTTTAATGCAATGACACACATGAGAATTTGGGAAATAGTTTGCCTTACATGTTTACAATGTGGGTAGCCCTTCCTACATGATCCAGTATGAGCTATAAAGTGACCTGCAGATGCCGGTTACTTTTGCTGGGCTTGAGGTGCCCAGGAGAAATCAAGCTGGGAACAAAGGCCTGTTGCTGCTGGTGCCAGGCCTAGTGCCGTGTGGCAAGAGTTATGGGGCGTGCTGAAGCCAGATGTTGTTTTGTGAGATATTAGAAATGTCTGAAGTGTGATGCAAGACAGGCTGCTTGTGTGGAAAAGCCACTGTAAAGAGCTTGGGTGGGCCTGCAATTTCGGTGGGGCAAGATATGAGGGAATTAGCAAGATGGCTAACAGCTGTAGCCAGATGGTTGAAGACTCAGATATGCTTCCCACCTGCGGTGTCTAGTGGTATGTGAGGAGGGGTTGTCGGGACTCAGAAAAACAACATTGGTCTCTGACAGTACTTCTGTTCAGTACAAAGTTGTTCCTCCATCTTGCCTTAACACCATACAATTCAGTTCCTTTTTTAAAAATGGCCAGTTGCTGCCACAGTACTGGAGGTCAGAGTGAGTGAGTCCATGTAAGTCCATGCTCAGACCCTTTGACAGGGCGACATGGGACTGCAGATACCCACTTTGTCACTCAACCAAAATCCCACTGGTTTCTACAACCAGAAGTTATGGGGACTTGTCTTCCTGGCCCTGGAATGCTGGGCAAGGGTTATGGTGTGGGGCTAGAATCTTTCGCTCCTTAGTGGGGAAGTCTGCAGCCAAGTCATTTTTCCCAGTTTTAATTTACCTACCACACATGGGTGTGGGACAAGACCTTTTCTTATCTCTGCCCCTTCTACTAGTCTCAGTGTGGCTTTTTTGTATCCTCAGTTTTGAGACTTCTGTTCAGTGAGATTTCAGGTAGTTTTGAATGATGGTGGTTCTGTAGTTTAATTGTAATTTTGATGTGGTTGTGGGAGAATGAGTAGTGTTTATACTGCCATCTTGACCAGAACCCCCTAGGCTTTCTTATTTTAGATTGATCATATATGGTGTATGAGAGCAATTCTAAAATTTTTCTGTCTCTGCTTTATTTCATTGAACATAATGCCCTCATGGTTTATGTGGGTTGGTCCAAGAGGCAATGTTTTTTTTCTTGTATGGCTGAGTAATAAATATTCCATTCTAATTCTTTATATACAGAATATTATTTATCTATTCACCTGTTGTTAAACATTTTGGTTGCTTTTGTGTATTGGCTTTTGTAAATACTGCTCCAATAAACCTGGGTATGCAGGCATTTTTTTTTGAAGTAGCGATTCTATTTTAAAAAATACATTTCCTGAACTGAGATATCCTAATCAAATGGTTTTCATTTTTAAAATATTTTATGGAACCTTTACCTTGTTTTCCATAGAGGCTTCACCAATATAAATGCCCAACAACAGTGTGCTAGGATTGACATTTTCAACCATCTTGACTACACTTGTTATCTCTGCTGTGTTTGAGGGCAGTTGTTCTAAGGGGTGAGAGTTGATATCTCATTCTGGTTTGGATTTGAATTTTCTCCAAGAGAAGAGCTGGGAATTGGGATGCTCTCTTTTGTTCTATCTCACTGTAGTGTACTGGGGATGGAAGTTGCCTTGAACTTTCATATAATTTTTGTTCAGTGTTTTAGGGGTAGGTATTTGTTTCAGTGCTACAGCTTC